GAGAAAAAGTGAGGAATGCTTGCATCATTGAGTTGTTAGTTTGGGGTTGAAACACTTTGCAATTCCCAGAACGATGTTGTAATTGATATTGACGTTGTTGTCGTTTTTCTCAGTAACTTAAATTTGTTGAGCAGCTCTGATTTAGACCATAGTGCAAACGTTGGAAAATTAGCACTTATTTGCTTTCTTCCCAAACATTTGGAGTTATAGCACACAAAAACAAAAAAAAAACTTATTATATTCGTGAAACTATGGGCAACATGTAGTAAAACTGCGTTTTTCTCTCTGATGTCGGGATTTTTAAAGGCATTTAAAAACATTTAAAAAATTCAGTGCATTTAGAATAACAATGGGCATCAAATAAAAGAGATAATTGCACAGATTAAACTAAAGATAAAATTTTTGGGTGCGTAAGGACGTTTGGGTATGAAAAATGTCCTTTTAAAATTTTTTCTTTGCATATCATTAAAAATGTTTAATATTTATTTTGGACAAATGTGATGTTAAGTATCAGTATCTATACACACGACCACATCCTCGAATTTCGTCCTTCTTATTTTATTATATATTATTATTTTCAATACCTTTTCTTACTTGTGAACCAAACAATTTTAATGTTGTTCGCCAGTTGGAATAGGTTGGAAACCACTGTTATTGACCATAGTGCAAACGTTAGAAAATTAGTACATATTTGGTTTCTTCGCAAACATTTGAAGTTATAATAAGTTGACTTTGATCAGCTGTTTTTCTTGCTGGCAAATTGCTGCTACTAAGGCGATTTCTTTTCTCGAAAAAAAGATGTCACCTTCTTATATGGCAACATTATCCGAGTGCAACATTTTAAAGAAAGCACGCAATATGCATGCGAAGATGCTGAGAAAAAAACACGGAAACTTGACAGCCCTGGCGCAGGGCAGAATAAATGCAACATTATTTCGAGAAAAGAAAACGCTATAAGAATTTGTAACTTCCCCTTCACTGAACTGTCACTTTGCTCTCAAAATTTCCTCTTTGGGAATTTTTCGCGTACGC